ATCAGGGCAAGATGAAGAATCTATAGATTGGCAAGTTGCTACTGAACAAAAACCATCAAAGCAGTATCTTACGCTAAGAATTTTGGGTTCTGACTAGATAACTAGGTTTATAGATCATATTAAAGAGAAGGGGTACCTAATAAAAATCAAAATTTTTCGACCAGATTATGATGACTGTTGAGGATAGCTGGCTTTAGGGATATTGGAAAGTATTAGTAACTTTAAATCCAAACTGTGGAATACCAGTTTTGCTTTTTTCCTCTAGTCATAGGAATAGCAAGTTTAGTCAAGATTGAACTTATAAAAGCTCAATCCAATAAAGAACAGGAAAATCTCTACTCTGCTAGGAATAAAGGAATAAAAAGTGCAAGATTAAAAATATTGAAAGGGACACATACATATATGTAAATAAACTCAAAACTTAATAATAAATCGCCGAAAATACAGGAGGAATTTATAAAAAACCAAGCTCATGGCTAATCCTCAGCTTAAGATTTAGGCCCTCTATACTCTTAGTTAATTCTTGAATCGCCAATCCTGCCGACAAAGTGGACAGTGTTGGGCCATTTGCTGGCTATTTAGCCACTTGACAATGCAGTGCATATGGTAGCAGTGAGAGCATTCGCCCCAGACAAGAGGGCAATCATCGCCTGGCAAGCGACAATCGGCACAACACGTCTCGAAAGCGTTTCGGCAAATGCCGCAGCACTCGTCGTTGGTAAGCCAGTGCCAAGTAGAGACCGCGAACCATTGGTTGATCTGCACAGGTCAGAATTATTATAAAATAAAGGCAAAAAATCTAAAATGAATTGAGAGGAAATAAAAGCAACTTAAAATTCAAGGTTAATTTATAATGAATGTAGAATTAGATACATGCAAATTAATGGCATAATTCTTAAGGATAAACTATAGATAAGAGAAAATAAAATAGACCATGAATACGATCAGGGCAGATTAAGGTATCAGGTGAAAATCACAATACCCCCACAAGACGTTAAGTGAAACGATCCAAAAGTCAAGTGTGATTGTGTAAGAAATGCACGCTGCTAGCATAACAATAGTAGATATGAAAAGAAACTGGGTTTTGATGAATCTCTTGAAATAATATTGTTAGGGGAACTTTCAGTTAGTATGAAAATGAATGAAGAAGAGATTCGTTGGTGGATCTCACCAGATGAGGACGGATTAAGCTCGTTGTACTGCAGCCGTTTAGCCTTTATACGACATTCATGTTGACGAAGTCCATAAGACTTCCTCCCTCATTTTCGGTGAAAACGTGTTGAGATTTCGTTCATCATACGATGGACATCATCAGAGCTTGGTTTAATTCTTGTAAGATTCTCACGTTAACAGTAGGCCAAGAACACTATCCAGCTCA